TATATAAAGATACATTGCGAGTGGCGTACCACTACCACAGCGCCTTGAAGTTGTTACCTTTCTGTGAACAGACGAATCAACAGCCTTTTATTTGCTAATCATGGGTTCGAAACGTTCGATGCTAGACTTAGAAAAGCGTCCCACTCCTAGCCTCTACCAGGTTTCGGGAGGCGGCTGGAAAAAGTAGAAATCGGCCAAATAGAGAGATAGCATGCCGGAGAAGTTTGGTCGGCTGGAGAGAACCGCTCCCGAAGCCTGTGCGGGTTCGCTACGATCAAACGGTATAAAAGTTATCCCCTCGGGAGCGGCCATCTGTTCTCTTAACAGACCAACTCGCCTGGCATGCTATCTCTCTATTTGGCCGATTTCTACTCTTTCCAGCCTCCTCCCGAAGCCTGGTAGAGGCTAACATAATGCCACTTGAACGCTGGTATTTTCTTTCCCCACAGTGAGGTAGGCTTGGAGGCGTCTACCGGTGCCCTGTGGTTCACAGATAAAGAACTCCGTGACCCTACCGTGCCTGTCATAGCGCTGGGCGGTTCGACCTTCTCCATGGACAAGGCACACTTACAGTGCCGACTGCCCAACGGGACCATGTGTGGTACATCCATTCCACTCAAGGACTTCCCCGGAGTTTACAAGTTTGTTTGTTTGTTTATTTATTTATTTATTTATTATTTTATTTGCCCAGAAGAAACATATAGCCTACTTGTGTTTGCCAATGTGTTTATGAATTATCAACATCAAATAAAATAAAATAAAATCACCAAGAAGGCCACGTTGATTTGATTCTATAGATGACATCCTCTGGGACCCCAAAACTAGTGTGAGCGTGCAAATAAAAGTTTGAAAAAGTTTAACAATAAAGTTAACTTCATTATAAAAAATTACGTGGTCATGAAGGTTGAACAAAAGACACACAGTATGGTATGACAAATGATCTATTTTTCTTCAAATTCATTCCTTGACATTTTTTGTCTTTTTCGTTTGATTTTGGCATTCTACGACATTGGTATCGTTTTCCATTATTTTTGTTTGCAGCTTACGGTATATATTCACTCATTTTCCAACTGTTTGTACGATTTACAGTATGGTTAAAAACTTGTTTTGTGTTGGAAACGGCCAAAAATTCATGCGCGCGGGGATGTCATCCATATAATCAAATCAACATGGCCTTATCTTACGTCGATACAGAACCAAAGTAAGGTGTTAAAAAACGCATTTTAGTCCGCGATGCTTCAATGGAACGATTGTTTGATTAGTTGGTTGTTAGTTTGATTGATTGGTTGTTAGCCTGATTGATTGGTTATTAGTTTGATTGGTTGTTTGTTTGATTGATTGATTGGTTGTTTGTGTGATTGGTGGTTTGTTTCATTGATTGGTTGATTGGTTGGTTGGTTGGCTATTTGATTGATTGATTGGTGGTTTGTATCATTGATTGGTTGTTTGATTGATTGGTTGGTCGGTTGGCTATTTGATTTATTGGTTGATTGATTGATTAATTGATTGATTGTTTGAGAGAAAAAAAATACAGTTCTATTTGTGGGAGAATTACAGTTAAAATTGTGGAAGATGCGAATAGTAAGTGTCGATAAATAACAGTAATTACACATTGACATATTATGATTACAACTACTGATGATGCATGAAATTTCAGAATGATTTTGCCCGCTAAACTTTATTTGAGAGGATACTTTAGTGTCATGAAATCTCAATCTTGTATATTCTTTATGTTGGTGCAATTTTATATCTATGCAGCACATTGCTTTGACAAAACGTCCCCTGAATTCTTGGCACATTTCGCAACCTCTTCAAAATTCTTAAAAAAAAATACCAATTATCCGCCCAGAATTCTACGATGGAAACACAAGCTGTCAGATATAAAACTGTTCACAATTTTTCAATCAACTTTTTGACCTCTGACGCCCACCTTGTTTAATAAGTAGACGTCAGTTGTCGTGTTTTATAAACTATAACATGACTTTTCTCAGAGAAGCTAGTTTTTCTGAGCTCCCAAGGAAACCAATTATGCTGCTGTCTTAAACGTGGCCTCGAAATATATTTCCTCGATACGTATTTCTAAATCAGGAAGTTCTCTCATATCCTGCTGTTCTTTATAACTAAGGCCATGTTGATTTGATTTGATTATATGGATGACATCCGCGCTCGCATGAATTTTTAGCCGTTTCCAAAAAAAAAGTTTTCAACCATACTGTAAATCGTAGTCTACAAAACAGTTGCAAAATGAGCAAATATATACCGTAAGTGCAAAAACATATTGAAAAACGATACCAACGTCGTAGAATGGCAAGATCGAAAAGATGACAATGTAAAGAAATGAATTTGAAGACAAGATTATTCGCCATTATACATACACTGTGTCATTTGTTCAACCTTCATAACTACGTAGATTTCATAATGAAAGCAACTTTTTTTGTATGCCAAACTTTTTTTATTCGCACGCTCGCATCAGTTTTAGGGTTCCCCGGGGATGTCATTCATATAATCAAATCAACATGGCCTTATCACAAGTGATCTACCTTGTTTATTCCGTGACAGCCTGGTTGTTTCTGATGACGGATTTCTGCTGATAACCGTTCCCGTCTGGGGGCTTCTCGTCGTTTACCTAACAGGTAAGTGTATATTGTTTCAGACACCACAACACACCAGCCACTCATAGACTGTGTCCCACATGTAATGAGAGTATTGAAGATGAATTTCACTTTGTTATGACTTGTCCCACCTATAGAAAAGAAAGAGATACATTGTTACAGACTATTACTACTAAGACAAAATTCACCCAATCTGGTACACAGTACGATACATTCCATGAATTATTGTCATGTCCAACTACCATATCTGCTTACGTAGGCCAATTTTTGTACACTTTATTTCATACGCGAGAACATATCATCAATACATGACCATATGGTAACTCAAATACTGTTTAGATAGTAGTTTGTAGTAAGCAAAGTTTTGTAGTATTGTTGTATTACTGTCATACATTGCACCTTGTAAGATTGTTGAGCAATAAAGTTCATTCATTCACTCATCTAGGCCACACCAATTTGATTTGTTATTTCTCGGATTCTAGCCTCTACCAGGCTTCGGGAGGCGGCTGGAAAGAGTAGAAATTGCCCAAATGGAGATAGCACGCCAACAAAGGGAGTTGGTCTGTGGAGATAAACAGTTTGCCCTTTTTTTCTGAATCGCAAAAAATGATTCTGGTTCTGAATTAACTAAAAATTCTCATATTTTGTCCCCAACAGTTAAGGAAAGTCCTTCTCTTCCTAGTCGTTACAGTTTTTCCATCTGTCAATGCAGTGGTTTTATTAAAAGTTCAAAATTCATTGTTTAAATTTCAACCCAGCCTTTTGTTTTGACTTCATGGCTCCTATCGAAGCATTTGGGGCTATAATAGGATGCCTAGACCTGTTTTTATTTCATTATTTTCGCCTTGTCGCTTCATATTTTTCTGACAAAAATCCGAGAACCAACAAATTAAATTAATGTGGCCTTATCACATTCTAAAATGGCATCGGTGGCGCAATGGTTAGAGCGTTGGACTCGGAACCAATAGGTCTCGGGTTCGCCGTGGCTCGACGTTGTGCCCTTGGGAAAGGCACTTTTCACGACCTCCCCACCATGTACGGTGGAGTGACGCACACCAAGCCCCTTAGGCTAATCTGTCTAACTAACTGTGTGTCAAAATCACACTACGGATTTGGTGCGCCAATGTGTCAACATCAGCACATATGCCACCGAGAGTCGGTTAAAAAATGAGCAAATTCTAAAACTGCATTGCAGAAAACTAAGGCTGGTTGAATTTCGTGACCACAGCTTATATATATACAGATAAAAATTACTTAAAATACAACAAATACAAAGTATCTTCCTTAAATTACTTAAAATACAACAGAATTTTTAATACAAAGTATCTTCCCTTAGTATCAAATTAGGCTATATAATTATACGGATACAAGTTAACTAAAATATGAGAAATACAAAGTATCTCCCTTGTCAAATTAGGCTATATATACAGATACAAATTACTTAAAATATAAAAAAATACAAAGTATCTTCCTTGCCAAATTAGGCTATATATACAGATACTAATTACAAAAAATACAACTGGTACAGTACTAAGTATCTTCCTTGTCAAATAAAAGAACACAATGAGCTTTACATCAATTAAAAGTCTTGTCGGGTATGGGATCAGACTATTTCTATACCTGTTGGATCTGGTGAATGGAATGCTGAGTTGGTTGCCAGCTTTTAAATTCCTTTTTGGATTTCATTACTATGGGGGGGGGGGGCAGCAAGAATAGGATCTAGTATAGTATAGTATATGTAAAGTGTGACATGTGATGTGGAAATATGGATGTAAAATCAGTTCAAGGTTTTACATGTTGACAAAGATGGAGGATGATGAGCATCGAAGATCTCGTTAGGATTATCACTGGCTATCACTCATCCTGTCAGGGGAAATCTGTATCTGTATCTGTATAGCCCGTATAACCGCCTTTCGGCGTAACACACCAGCTTCTGTATCTGTATAGCCGGTATAACCGCCTTTCGGCGTAACACACCAGCTTCGCAGGCACGTGGCGGTGGCAGCTGGCTACATTACACCGATCGACTTGTTACACCTAACCCTTGAACTTCTAACTCTAGACATTGTTTAAAGCTATCTAATGACAAGGCACCTACTTGGTGACAGCAAGTTCCACTCTGCGATAGTTCTAGGATGAATTCTTGAATGAATGTCGTGTAAAGAATGAATTCTTGAACACCTCAATCCTTGGTTGATAACTCTGGTACTTGAAGGCATGGCTATTTCTTGTTCTCTTCTGGGCTGGTATTAGGTACTTAGTAGTTGGGACGTCCACAAGTTTATTAGTCATTTTGTACATCATGCATAGTCGGGACATTTTTCTTCTGTCTTTCAGTGACACCCACTGTAGGTTTCTTTTCATTTCCGTGACACTGGCACCTCCTTCATAGTTTCAAAGTTTCAATGATCTAGGATAAACGCCAGGTAATTCTTCATTGTCTCTAGAGATCAGAAGGATGCCAAAAATTCCGAATTTTTATTTTATTTTATTTTATTTTATTTTTTTATTTATTCATTCACATATATTTATTGAGTATTGGGCAAAAAGCAAAAGTTGCTTATACAACACGTTCTACTCAAACATGCAACGAGTATAAAACACATTGACAAAATACATTTCTAATTACAAGGCGGATAAAACCAAAATAAATACAAACAAGATAAGTTGGTGATCTATCAATTACGAGAATCTAGCCGTACAGTAAATGAAGTTTTGAACTGCATCAAATACATTACAGTTCTGTAGGATGTGTGGGTGATGCGGACCCTCGAAGTAGTAAGGAACATAGGGAACTGTCATTGAGATGCTGTAGCTCTACTATGTTGGAGAGAGATGATAACAGAGTACTTCGTTGACTGGAATACAGTTTACAATGTAAAAAGTAATGTTCAGTTGTTTCACTATGATAGCCACATTTACATGTAGGGTAGTCAATACAATAGTTTTGAAATAGATGGTAGTTTACCTGACTGAAATTAAGACGGATCCTTGTGTGATGAACAGCGGAGTGTCTTTGGCCCCAATTCTGATATTGAACTGTTGATTAACGATTAATGATGAAAAGTTTATTGAAAATTCTTGCCCGGAGGCTAATTGCAAATTACAAAACATAAAAGAACAATGAAATAGATTATAAAGTAAATAAAGTCTACATGATAAAGGTAGCTGTCTAGAACTATAACTATGTCTAAAACTATGTCTGAATGGTTTGACTTCTCTTCTGTAAACCATGGAAGACGTAATGCCCCACCTTTTCCAAAATGTGTGTGTTTTGGGAAGTTAAGAGAAGAATAGTTTTCTCTTGGTCTATACGTTTAGAGAAATTGGAATAAATTGTAGAAGTTTGAATAGTCAATTCATTTCGAGCGTTGTTATGGAATGAACAGTTTGAAATAAAATGTATTTCGTTTTCCACAGCCTTTGCACTACAATATTTACAGATTCTTTCACATACAGGTAGCCTTCTATACCGGCCTCTCTCTATTTCCAGAGGATGGGCGCTATACTCCAATTTTACTAATGGCTGAGCGTAGTTCGAAATTAATGGAGACAGTATAGGAGCATCTCGTCTATTGGTAAACCCGGTATTATTTTGTGATTATTTTTTTTTCATTATTTTATCTTTTTTTTTTCATTCAGAAAAACAGTGATGGATACAAATTAAAGGACACGGACTAAGGGACTGTGAACTCAAGTTAGGCACAACTTATATTCTCGCAGCCACTTTAACAATGAAAAATAAAGATATTTTAGAAGACGTTTGAAAAAGTGTGGAGACCTAGTTTTTTTTATTTTATTTTATGACGATTTACCACATTTGTGGAAGAATTGACATAACAGGTGACTATCACCTCTTCAAAAATGTCAACCCCGAGACCAGACAGTAAGGTTTGAACCACTCACACCGGGAAGGTCCCCTACTCTTTTCGATAAGTGTGGTGGGTTCTTTAACGTGCGTGGGGTGTGGCTCTCCCAAACACGGGACCTCCATTTAACGTCCTATCATAGTTGTAGCATGAGTCAAACCTCCCATCCCAGAAGAAAAGGAAGCAAAACAGGACACATGCAGCTAAAAGCGTTTAGTTTCTGTTATGTAGTTTTGACTTTTGTTTGGCTAACATAATTTTAAAGTTGATGTCATGGGAACAGAGTAATCTACCTCGAAGAACTAATAGTTGTTTAGCATATTATCAACAAGGATGTTAAAATTGCCTATGTGTCCAATAATACTTGAGAGGTTGCCGAATAGAACTGAGCGCTTGTTGGCGTCTTCTTCTTCTTTCAGTAAGGCGACCACCTTCAACATTTTTTTAAATATTCTGTCGCCTATAGTTGAAACTGCATGCTGGGAGTGGGTGTTCATGTAGTCTGTAAGGGGTGGTGCTAGTTGTCTCGTATTTTGTGGTCAATAAGAAGGTAAGGGCAGGGTCAGGATTTTGGCTTTGAAACTGTCCAGAGTGGGGGAGAGGATAACCTCTGCAGGCAAACAGCTAGTTCCAGTCCCGGATCGTCCTTGGAAAGAAGGACTGTTGTCTGTACTCTGTCCGGCAGGAAGGAACCCTGTAAGTTGCTGGATGGGACTGCCTTGTGCTTCTTGTATGCTTTGCAAGCATCGGCCTTGACCTGGTATCAATGATGAGACTGTCACTAGTATGAAACTTGTAAAATGCAGTGAGCCTGGCTCTCCTCCTACGGTCTCTGAGGGTCGGCCACTCTAGATCTTGGAGCATGGAGTCGACACTCGATGTCTGTCTGTGTCGGTTGGTAGTCCATCTTGCCGCTCTCATCTGCACAGCTTAGGCGTATATAGGGCCTTATAATGCTGAATGTAATGCTAAGATGTGATACTTGTGGTGTTACCGCCTCCACAGTCTTATGGGATTTGTTCTCAAATACGGAGGGGACTTCACGTAATAGTTTAGATACCACCAGGAGTTAGTCACACATGTACAGTGCTTACTCCAGAAAAGCTAGACTTACCAAAAGCGATAAATTTCAGCTAAGTCTCCTTAGTAAGCCCGGTGATTTTTCATAAATAATAACTATAGATGCCAGATAAGTCAGATGATGGGACAAGGTGAGGGGTGAAGTCTGGTCATTTTTGCTTGACGCGTCAGAGGCAAAAAACCAACCGTTACCAGACTTATCTGTCACTTAACGTAATGGATGACATCCTCTGAAGACCCCCTAACTAGTGCGCGTGGGCGAATAAAACAAATTACAGCCCAACAAGAATTCGGAGATCTCATACCTCCATGAAATATATGAGTTTATTAGGTTTTAAGGTATGTATGATTTGTACATGACAGATCCACCATTACAAAACTAAGAATCTGCGAATCGAATCAGGAAGACATAATCGCACTCCTCTGAAGCAAGGAATCTACCAATTTTGTAGTCTAGATACAGTAAAGGACCAAGTACATTTTACCATAGATTGTTATTTAAATAACACTGATAGACACAATACTTTTCGGCCATGTTTTAAGTAAATTTCCCCACTTCGGATACTTGACAAGTAAAGAAAAAAAAGCATATTCCGTTTAGCCTTTGATAAACCAAATCTAACTTATCATACAGCTTCATACATTTATATAAGTTTAATATGTATACACGCAACAGTTATATGCATATGTATATGGATATACACCGTTTGGGCAAAAAGTACTATAAAGGTATTCATTCATTCATTCATAAAGCTATCGTTACACATATTTTTCAGCTGGTATACCCCACGCCTCCATTTACCTGGACCAGACAGTGGCCGGTGTGAACGGCACGTTCCTGCCTGTAGCACAGCCTGTCATCGACGGACAGCGGGCGTACTTCCTCACCAAGTTCGGCCCCTCACACTGGGAGAAACCGTCGCCCAAACCGGTAAGGCCATATTGATTTGGTTCTATGGATGACATCCTCTGGGAACCCCAAAACTAATGCCAATTAAAAAAAAATGTTCGGCAAAAAAAGTTGCTTTCAACATGAAATCGACATGGTCATGAAGGTTGAACAAATGACACAGAGCAGTATGGTATGACGAATAATCTACTCTTCAAACTCATTTTACATTTTCGCCTTTTTCGTTTGATTTTGGCAATCTTCGACATTGGTATCGTTTTTTAATGTTTTTTTTGCAACTTATGGTATACATTTTCTCATTTTGCAATGGTTTTGTACGATTTACAGTATGGTTGAAAACTTTTTTTTTGGAAACGGCCGAAAATTCATGCGCGCGCGGATGTCATCCATACAATCAAATCAACATGGCCTAAATATGTAACACACGCTAAAAAAACAGTTACTCAAGCAACTGGATATGATTTTGGAAACGGTCAGACGTTTTAATGTAGCATCCACTACCTTTCGTCAGTGACACTAGAGACTTGCAGGAGAAAAGCAGGCTTATAAGCAAGAATTATTGATTGATATGCAAATATATGCAGATAAGACTTCACGTATTTGCATATCAATCAATAGTTTGTGCTTACAAACCTTCATTCTTCTGCAAGTCTTTAGTGTCATTGACGAAAGGTAGTGGGTGCTACCTGAAACGTTCCAAAATCATATTCAGTTGCTTGAGTAACTGTTTTCTTGGCATATCTTATTACTGGGATGTCTAATCTTCACCGACGTATTTGTAACACACTTCTTACGACATCCAGGAAGTATATATTTTTGGTTTTTGCGACTTTCAAATTCACAGATCTCACGCAAGTACACAAAACTTCCTCCTCAGCCAGACAAAATAACATACGTTCGTACTCGAATGTGGCAAACAAAATGCGACAGTTTGCATTGCAACTTCTTGGATACGGGTTTCCTGCAGCAAAAAAGCAACGACCGACACTGACGTATATTTGTCGCCCTAAGCGTGATTCAAAGTTGCTTCAAACAATGTCTATGGAAATTGTTTGCAAACAATCTGTACTTGATAACTTTTGCTGTGATTCCACATAGTTTGATAAATCATTCCAACACACGGTTCAATTCATATCATGCACATGGAAGGTAGATAGGACTTTTAGTACAAACCAGGTAGACATGCACTGTTTTCTATTCATCTATTACTAATTTCTCCATGAACCATGAGGCTACATTTGCGCAGTGATGTCCCAGTCTACTCTACTCTACTCTACTCTACTCTACTCTACTCTACTCTACTCTACTCTACTCTACTCTACTCTACACTACTCTACTCTACTCTACTCTACTCTACTCTACTCTACACTACTGTACTCTACACTACACTACTCTGCCCTACTCTACCCTACTCTACCCTACTCTACCCTACTCTACCCTACTCTACTCTACTCTACTCTACTCTACTCTACTCTACTCTACCCTACTCTACCCTACTCTACCCTACTCTACTCTACTCTACTCTACTCTACTCTACTCTACTCTACTCTACTCTACTATACTCTACTCTACTCTACTCTACCCTGCTCTACCCTGCTCTACTCTGCTCTACTCTACTCTACACTACTTACTCTACTCTACTATGCTATACTATACTATACTTACACTATGCTATACTGTACTATACTATACTATACTATACTATACTATGGGAAACCCATACTATTCCCATCTACACACTGATACTAAGTTACATATATGAAATGTTTGATGAGAAATTCGGACTGCGATGTTCCAGTACCCGCTAGAGTACCGTGTGTACCGGGTGGACCTGACGACTCAGATGGCGCCTCGGATGGTCATCCGCTGGTACTACCCTCTCGTACCCAACAGCCAGGGCCGTCTCGTCCCCAGGGATCCAGTCATCGTCGACTCCAACTACAGCGGTGATACTAGTAGTGATGATACTGTTGATAGTAGTAGTACTCACGATGATATTGATAGTATAAACTGGGAATGGACACCCAGTCTTGGCAATGATGAGCAGGTAGACCGTAGAAAGTTGTTTAGAAGTGAGTCTGTAAGTAGCAAGAAGGGGACAGGCAGTTCACAACCTAAGAAGGTGGATGAACAGAATATGGTCGACACCTTCTGGAATGATATCAAACAGGTTTTGGATGATCGTAAAGGAGGAGATAGTAAAAGTAATCAAAAGGACGGTAAGCAGGAAAGTAAGGAGTCATTCGATAAACAAAGCCACGAACCGCCCCAAAACGATCCATTTAATATCTATCACAACCTATTGCTGGCAGACAATGGGCGTATCTATGTCAGTTTCGTAGCTAAGGACTTGGGAAACGAGCAGCGTGTCCTGCCGCAGTTGTTTCTTTTCGAAGAAAGTCCCAAACAAGGAGACCCTCCAACGGTTGTGAAAACCATTTCCGATTCTGTTGCGTCTCTTGCAATGCGCCAAGAAATAAGTTTCCAAAACACCGTAGAATGCACGAAGGTTTCTAAACAGGAAAAGAAATCTACCAAAGACAAGCTCTCTGACCCCCTTTCGGATTCTGAAGATAAAAGATACCTTTGGTCACTCATGGGCCAAGATGTGCTCGTTGCTTTGGACCCAGATGACTTGTTCTACGCTCGATGGGGAAATCTTTCAGAACTAATTGGCACAAAGTTGAACGTGACTTCCAAGATCATGGTCCTCTGGTCAGGAGGTTCGAGCTCTGAGGCGAAAGAAATTCTGGTATTTGGCGTTTCTTTCGAAAGTCCTCCTATTTGGAAGACAATGAAATCAGGCCAGAATAACTCGTCGGAAAACAGAAAGTTGGAGACGGATGCTTTGAATTACGTTGTTGCTTTCGATCAATATCTAAGCCCCCTGTGGAAGTTAGCCGTACCAGACGATAGCCCAGTGGTTGGACAAATGGCGGGTTATTCTGGTCCCTCAGACAACGGTATAGTCATCGCTACTACTGCTAAGGGAACAGTCTTTGCCATTAAGGGTTAGTTGCACAGCACTGGGACTAACAAAAAGTAGTTTGTCTTAATACAGGCCCACGAAGCGAGGCTATAATTGCTTGTTTTACATACGAGACAAGTCATCTCTGTTGTTCACTGTATGTTGTGGTTTAAGAATCTATCTTTTTTAATTAGCCTGCATTCAACCTGGCATAGATCATATTAGTGGTCTGGTGCCGTGTCAAAGTAGATGGTAAACATTTCAAGAAACCCCGTAAATAATTTCATCAGGTTGGTAAACGAATGGATAGCAAAGTTCTTTGATCACAACCATTTATTTTTCACGAGCCGACGTTTCGAGGACCGTCATCTGTCTTCATCAGGGCAATTCTGACTGGATGTTGCTTGGTGCATAGTGAACTAATAGTAAAGGTAACAGTGCACTGTGAAGTATGTAGTACCTTTAGTGCACTATGCAAGTATCTAGCGTCAGTGCACAGTAAACCAGTCTGAATTGCCCTGATGAAGATGACAGTCGATCATCGAAACGTCGGCTCGTGAGAAATAAATGGTTGGGATCAAAGAACTTTGCTATTCTTTCAAGAAACTGTAACCTACTCAAGAAGTCAGTTTCAAGGACATTATTTCAAACCCTCGGGTGCTAAGGGTGGGCGTAATGGGCTGTCTGCCAGACAACATCATTCCATCTGGAGTCTGTGTCAAATACGATTTTAATCCAGTGATTTCTTACCAATTTCAGAACAATCTGGTGGCTCTACCTTAACTATGCCTTAATATGAAATAATGCAAACAGGAAACAGGCATCAAAACAGTAATTGTCTTAAACAAGATGATGTAAGCATTGTTCTAACTCGTTTCGCTCTACCACCAATATACACTGAAGTTGATGATTTAGCACATGCTCATGATGTCAGTGTACATATTTCGCAAAGAATGAACAGCTTTTCAACTTATTTTCTGTGAACAAAGTACTCAGACTTTTAGTCCAGGGATTCCAAGTCGTACATACTTTACTTCGCATTCAGCCTCACCGATGTTATATCTTTATCTGTTCAATGGTATCATTTTTACAAGGACCATTCCAACAAATCTGGCAGAGAATCCAGATATGCAAAGATCCTTAAATATAACACAGCAGCCATGCGTGGGCAACTGAATATTACAGAATTGATAAATGTACGTTCACGGCTTCAACAGATGGTTTTGGTAGAAATCCAACCATTAATACCCATTCTATTTTAGTTCAAACTTTAGCCTGTTATCATATTGCTTTGAAATCTAAGAAATTACGATAATCAATCTGTTTCCTATCATTCTAGATCAGCGATCTTTACACTGATCTATCTATCACATACGATCAGTAGAGTATTTACGTAACATGTTTGCAATAAATAGTATAAACAATTACACTCTACTAATAGGTATCGTATTTCACAAAGATTCGTCATTTGATAACATTCTGCATATACTTAGTATTAATGTTTCTGCATATAGCACCACAACAACATCAACATCATAAAGTTATAACATGTATGTGATACAACAACTATACCCTGTAAATGGATGAAATCCATTATTGATATCCATCATTTGCTAACACGTAGTAATTTTTGACAAGTCATATTACACAATAGCAAGGGATTCAACGAAATAACGTATGGCTTCACAATTGTTATACGGTGTGCCTAAGTTTCTTTATCTTTTCATAACATACTAAACATGCGTAGCAATTTTTAAGACAATATGTTACGGATCGTCAAATGTCTAATCTAATGTTTGAACATTATAAACATAAGAACGAGAAAACTCTATGAATAGGTGTCAAACTTATTATTATCGAGTTTCATCATTTGATAACATTCTGAACATACATAGTTTTCTTCAACATATCACACCACATAAATATCAACATGTACAGTCCAAAGTCAGAGGAGACAATATTTGATACATGGAACATATTATGCACTTGCACAGGAACATCAAAATCCTATGAATAATGTATCAATTCACAATAGTTATGCGGTGTTACTAAGTTTCTTTATCTTTTCATAACATACTGAACATGCGTAGCAATTTTTAAGACAATATGCTCTGGAGCGTCAACAGTCCAATCTAATGTTTGAACATTATAACATGAGAACGAGAAAACTCTATGAATAGGTGTCATTCTTATTATTATTATTATTATTGAGTTTCATCATTTGATAACATTCTGAACATACGTAGTTTTCTTCAACTTATCACACCACATCAATATCAACATGTACAGTCCAAAGTCAGAGGAGACAATATTTGATGCACGGAACATATTATGCACATGTACAGGAACATCAAAACCCTATGAATAACTGATAAATTCACAATTGTTATACAGTGTTACTAAATTTCTTCATTATTTCATAACATTCTGAACATCCGTAGCAATTTTTAAGATAATATGTGATGGGTCGTCAAATGTCTAATATAATGTTTAAACATCATAAACATGAGAACGAGAAAACTCTATGAATAGGTGCCATCCTTATTATTATTAAGTTTCATCATTTGATAACATTCTGAACATACGTAGTTTTCTTCAACATATCACACCACATCAACATTAACATGTACAGTCCAAAGTCAGGGGAGACAATATTTGATGCATGGAACATATCCTGCACAGGAACATCAAAAGATAAATAACGTATAAATTCACAATTGTTATACAGTGTTACTAAGTTTCTTCATTATTTCATAACATTCTGAACATTCATAGCAATTTTTATATAAGACAATATGCTACGGAGCGTCAACAGTCCAATCTAATGTTTGAACATTATAAACATGAGAACGAGAAAACTCTATGAATAGGTGTCATCCTTATTATTATTAAGTTTCATCATTTGATAACATTCTGAACATACGTAGTTTTCTTCAACATATCACATCATATTGATATCAACATGTCCAGTCCAAAGTCAGAGGAGACAATATTTAATACATGGAACATATTATGCACATGTACAGGAACATCAAAACCCTATGAATAAGGTATAGATTCACAATTGTTATACAGTATTACTAAGTTTCTTCATTATTTCATAACATTCTGAACATGCGTAGCAATTTTTAAGATAATATGTGATGGGTCGTCAAATGTCTAATATAATGTTTAAACATCATAAACATGAGAACGAGAAAACTCTATGAATAGGTGCCATCCTTATTATTATTAAGTTTCATCATTTGATAACATTCTGAACATACGTAGTTTTCTTCAACATATCACATCATATCAACATCAACATGTATAGTCCAAAGTCAGAGGGGACAATATTTGATACATGGAACATATTATGCATATGTATAGAAACATCAAAACCCTATGAATAACGTATAAATTCACAATTGTTATACAGTGTTACTAAAGTTTCTTCATCATTTCATAACATTCTGAACATTCATAGCAATTTTTAAATAAGACAATATGCTACGGATTACATTATAAACATGAGAACGAGAAAACTCTATGAATAGGTGTCATTCTTATTATTATTATTGAGTTTCATCATTTGATAACATTCTGAACATACGTAGTTTTCTTCAACTTATCACACCACATCAATATCAACATGTACAGTCCAAAGTCAGAGGAGACAATATTTGATGCACGGAACATATTATGCACATGTACAGGAACATCAAAACCCTATGAATAACGTATAAATTCACAATTGTTATACAGTATTACTAAGTTTCTTCATCATTTCATAACATTCTGAACATTCATAGCAATTTTTATATCAGACAATATGCCACGGAGCGTCAACAGTCCAATCTAATGCTTAAACATGAGTACGAGAAAACTTTATGGATAGGTGCCATCCTTATTATTATTGAGTTTCATCATTTGATAACATTCTGAACATACGTAGTTTTCTTCAACATATCACATCATATCAACATCAACATCAGCATCAACATGACAGTCCAAAGTCAGAGGAGACAATATTTGATACATGGAACATATCATGCACATGTACAGAAACATCAAAACCCTATGGATAGCGTATAAATTCACAATTGGTATACAGTGTTACTAAGTTTCTTCATTATTTCATAACATTCTGAACATATATATACGTAGTAATTTTTAAGACAATATGCTACGTAGCGTCAACAGTCTAATAGTAATCTTGTGTTTGAACATCATAAACATGAGAACGAGAAAACTCTATGAATAGGTGCCATCCTTATTATTATCGAGTTTCATCATTTGATAACATTCTGAACATACGTAGTTTTCTTCAACATATCACATCATATCAACATCAACATCAACATCAGCATCAACATGACAGTCTAAAGTCAGAGGAAACAATATTTGATTCATGGAATATATTTTGCACAGGAACAGCAAAACTCTATGAATATATAGCTTCTATCTTTTATTTTCGGGTTTCATCATCTGATAACCTTCTAAATATACGGCTTGTTTCTGCATACGACAACCCAGGAATATCAATAACAAGTTTTGCAGGGCATATCTGATTAGGCCACAGCAAGTAATTTTTATGGATGACATCAGCGCGCGGATTAATTGTCACCTGATTTTGGAAGAAAAAACAAGAAATGTTGTTGCCCTCTGATAGTGGTCAACATGCCGAAAATGGGCAAAGATGTCTGTTGCCATGCCGGAAGGTGGATGACAGATAACTATGAAGAGATGAGACAAGAAAATGCTATGATTTGATGTTTTGTTTCATACTTTGATGCAGTGATATGTGATACTGGCTGTGCATATGCGATGTTCCCACTGAATCAAAACCATTTGTACAATGATTGAGTCAAAATTCTAAAATGTAGGAACCTTATTTTTTGGGTCCGTCTTGTTTCTTTCTTTCGCCCGCTCGCCTTAGATTTGGAGTCTGCGGAGGATGTCATCCATAAAATTTACTTGCTGTGGCCTGATCTCAAATGATGAGAGCTCGCAATGTCTAAGCGTTGAGAGTTACTGCTTCATGAACATCACTGTTCCTGTTACTGTGGTAGAGTCTCCATCCCGTCCTTTCCGGTTAGCCAGTACGTCATTTCCGCCCGTCCTTTCTGCAAAACAAATATGGCATCAAGAACCGTACAGATACAATGTCTTCAATATCCTGGCAGATCGTTTGGTACCCAGGACAGTATCCAAGAGGCAAAACAGTATCTAGCAGTTCATGGCAGTATCCCATGGGTACTGAAACAGTATCCACAGTATCCGACGGGATACTTCATACTGTCGTGCCTGTTGCATATTGTCTTGCCAATTGGATACGGTTTTGCCTATTGCCTACTGTATTGTCCATTACATACTGTCTTGCCTATTGGCTTTTGCATTGGCGATAGCTTTTGGATATTCATATTGGTTTTTCATAACGTCTTGTCTTTTGGATACTGTAATACCAGATTGCCCTTTGTCTAACCTAATGTATAATGGCTTGCGTATTGCATACCGTCTTTCGTATTGCATACTGCATTGCCTATTAAATGATCTATTCTCCATTGAACAATATAAATGTCTTGACTATTGGACATTATACATTGATGTAAAAGTATCAGAGGGTATGGTTATATCGTTTTAAAACTGATCATCTCAAAACAATATGAGACGAAGAACAAATCATCAGTTGCTAGGTCTTTTCTTTTTAATCTTTGCACTATAAACCTTTTGGGGACAAATTATCTAGTAAATTTGTAATTCAGACCTGCAAAAAGCTGCTGAGATATGGATTATTTCATGTACACTACATCATATCTTATATTAGAAAGTCGACAGAATAGGGAACAGCAATACCGGCCTCCAGTAGGCTTATGAATAAGCCTGCGCGATTCAAGTCAAAGACACAAAAACATGAATGAATCTTAGAATAGAACCCTCATGGTTTACATAACGTCTATAGATATTTATTTGCTTGTGTCTTTAGCCATTTAGCCATTGCGGCAGCTTTTCTTAGTGATCACGATGGGATGACCATCAAGGGATCATTTAAAAAAAGTGAATCCCTACCGACTAAATTTTTCAGGACCGTAATAGGAAAAACAACATTAACCTTTCTAGGTCCTATTTATGTAATGGCAACTACATCCGACTCCTTTATTCCAAAGAATCTATTGAAAGCCATTAATACACAACTTTATGTTGCCGACCGCAGCACGAATCCATTTTTTTCATATCCGGCACTCAACGTTTATATAAGTGCCGAACAAAAAGATCCCGCCATTATTCCCATCTGGTTGATTAGCAGGCTGCACCTTAAAGGCTGTCATCTTGTGGTTGTCCCAGATTAAAGGGTCACCAAAAAAGATGAGCCCACTAATTGTCCCATGGCACTACCTGATACAGTAAAAGCTTCAAAGTGTGCTTCCTCTGGTGCGTGTAGAAAAGACAACAATTCAAACGATAATAATTTGTCTGCCGCAAACTCCCATATACCACAGTTTTCCATGATTTTGATGCTAGGTTCAACTATGATTTACACAAAAAAAGAAAACAATTGCATGAAGAAATACATTTGTCAATGATATTTCTTGCAATATTAGCAGGCTGAACCGTAAAAGCTGTTATTTTGTGGTTGTCCCAGATTAAAGGGTCACGAAAAAAGATTAGCCCACTAATAAGTCACATGGCTCTGCCTGATACAGTAAAATCTTCAAAGTGTGCTTTCTCTGGTGTATGTAGAAAAGACAAACATTCAAACGATAAAATAATTTGTTTGCCGCAAACTCCCATATACCACAGTTTCCCATGATTTTGATGCTAGGTTCAACTATGATTTACAAAAAGAAAAAAAAAGAAAACAATTGCATGAAGAAATACATTTGTCAATGCTATTTCTTGCAATGTTAGCAGGCTGAACCGTAAAGGCTGTTATTTTGTGGTTGTCGCAGAATAAAGAGTCACCAAAAAAGATTAGCGCACTAATTGTCCCATGGCTCTGCCTGATGCAGTAAAATCTTCAAAGTGTGACATCTTTATGGAGAATCGGCTTCCTCTGGTGTGTGTAGGAAATATACAAAATTCAAACGATGAACATAAGTTTGCCCACAAAGTCATACCACAATTGCAACAGTTCACCCTGATTCTTATGCTGAATTTGATTTACAAAAAAAAAAGATAAGAAAACAATTGCATTTTTCAAATGATCATATTTCTTGCAAATCCAAGGTTTGGAGGCCCTAACTCATATATTGAAAGAACATACACGTGTTTATACATCCATTTGTGTTATTTTGTTAAAAATAATTTTAATGATATTTCTTTCAAATCCAAGGTTTGGAGGCTCTAACTCATATATTGAAAGAACATTCACGTGTTTATACATTTAAATTATACATTTGTGTTATTTTGCTGAATTGTTTTGTGCCTTCATTCTCTTTCCACATGATCGAGAGAAGCGCAAAATCAGTTTCGAAGAATGTTTTCCCTTAAAACCTACATAGGCAAGTTCACAATCCCCGGTATGAAACAGTTAATATGCACATCCACATAGAGTCACCCGGACACTTTGTTTCACTTGACACTGTAAGGATTTTGGACACTGGACAAGACTATTTCCTGTGAAGGTGAAGGAGGCTATATACATCAGGGCCCATCATCCTTCACTGAACCGCGACGGGGGTCGACGTCGTCTACCACATACCTTTGGCCCAGTGTTGACGTCACACTTCAAAGAAGCCACGTGACAAGCGTCACTGGGTCAGTCTACTGAGGAAGACCAGAGTGACTGGTCGAAAGCTCTAGGTGAGAGAACTTTTTGTGTTGGATCTAAAGTTTTCACTCTAAACATGTAACTACCAACACAGATGAACTTTCATGATAATAAATAAACAATTACAGACCGTCTCTCAGCCACAACACTTGAATACCTTCAAAAGACAGTTGATAATACATTTACATAACAGGTTTAATGCGGTCTATGACACCGATGCTGCATGTAGCTGGATATCTTTTTGCAGATGTACGACCTGTATGGCCACAAGGCCGCGATAACTGCCCTATAGTTGTCACTTTATTGTCATATATCTTAATATGTTAAAGTATGTTGTCAGTTAAATTGCCTATTTTTGTATCATTACTGTTTTATTATGTATTTTGTATGTGGAGAGATAACTGGCAGAGGTGCAAATATGCACCTGTTTTGTCTCTCCTCCATACTACTTGCTGTTGCATTGGAAAGTCTAATAAATAAATAAATAAATTAGATACTAGGCTGTGCGTGTCTGGGCCTTTCATACTCACGTTGTGTTCGCTCATACCGGGGCCCTGGATTGAAAGGTGGGAGAGGAACATGTCTATATCAAAGGTGGGTGTACATGGGACAATAAACACATCGCCATGTACGCTAAGTTGGGCTCCCTCGCAATCTTGTAATTTTTATAAGCTGTTGTAAAACTATGTTTTTTTTTTATATTCCAGCATCTAATCACAAGAGGTGGTGACGGCACACACAAGTTTTTTTCAACTTATATTAATGCCGTCACCAACACAGGGGACATACAATACTCATTTTCACCTGAGCGAAGCGAGGAAAGTCGTGTAAAGTGCCTTTCCCAAGGGCGCAAGATTGGTGGCATGTCAAGACTCGAACCCGGGACCTCTTGATTCCGAGTCGCGCACTCTGCCGCTACGCCATACGACACCACTAATACTATGTTACTTGCCAATGTTCCAAGTAAATCAAAATACTCATATGAGAACAGATGTCATTTTTTGTAGTACCCTAAGATATTCAATTAATTTATTTGCAAAATAAAATTATTGGAAATTAACGTAATTATTCTTTAAAAGCCATCCTTGACTCGAAGTTAAGGAAATGGGTATCTTTATGATAAGTATTCCTTATGATAAATATTCCTTATGATATTGATGATGTATTATGTAATTGTTTACCGTGAGCTCCACCTTTCCTCTGGGTTCAATGTGGTAGCCTATCATGTTCATCAGGGCTGCTCTGGTTGTGCTGCTGATGTGAACACGATTTGCTGAAAAATATCATACTATACGTTATACCAATATACACACACATCCACGTACTAGTAACTGTTTATGGTTCGTCATGTACCCCATTAGACCATGTTGATTTGATTATATGGATGACATCTGCACGTGCATGAATTCTTGTCCGTTTCCAAATAAAAAATACTGTAAACCGTACAAAACAGTAACTGTTGCGAAATGAGCAAATACATACCGTAGGTTTAAAAAATATTGGAAAACGATACCAATGTCGTAGAATGCCAAAATCAAATGAAAAAGACGAAAATGTAAAGAAATGAATTTGAAGACTAGAATATTCGCCAAACCATACTCTGTGTCATTTGTTCAACCTTCAAAAGCACGTAGATTTCATATTGAAAGCAATTTTTTTTCTGGCGAAACTTTTTTTATTCGCACGCTCGCATCAGTTTTTGGGATCCCAGAGGATGCCACCAATATAATCAAATCAACATGGCCTTACCGCAACTCATCAAATGCATAGTGCATTAAAATATACTCTACTTTTAAGCTTTAAGTTAATTTTTTACATCACACATCAAGTCAAAGACACCACAACGTAGTGTAAACAAGTACACCACATTTTGGTCACTAAACAAAATGCTAACCACAAAAAAAATCATGACCATTGCATGTCCCTAACACGAGATATCAAAACCAACGCAGTAGGTCTGTTGCAATTTAAAGTTAGAAAAGCCGTCAGGGTGTCCAAAATCATCAGTTATTCCACAGGTCTTCGATATCTACTCATCTATCAAATTTTATAACAATTCTTCCAAATATTTTTTTTTACTTATCCCGCTAAACCATATTTTGTCTTGTCTTGTAAAATTTTTTTTTTTCATTGTAAAAGTGGCTGCAAGAATATAAGCCGTGCCTAACGTTCGCAGTCACTTTGTGTCTTTATTGTTTCTCTGAATAAAAATCAAAGCATATGTGCATACAAAGTATTACATACAGATAAAGTATTACATACATACAAAGAAGCTCCAAGTTAATAGTTGTGGTGTGTTTTACAATGAAGTTCCTGGTATTCAGAGATGTTGTATACTTAAGAAGATCTTTCGGTGTCCACAAAAGGCAGTATCATATTCGCCGGGCAGTATCCATTAGCCAGACTGTATCCATTGGCCACCCGAGTGGCTAATGGACACTAGTCCTCTGGTTAAGGCCATTTTAATTTGATTATATGGATGACATCCGCGCGCGCATGAATTTTGGGCCGTTTCCAAAAAAAATGTTTTCAACCATACTGTAAATCTTACAAAACAGTTGCAAAATGAGCAAGTTGTAAGTTGCAAAAAGAATATTTAAATACGATACCAATGTCGTAGAATGCCTAAATCAAATGAAAAAGGGCGAAAATGTAAAGAAATAAATTTGAAGAGTAGATTATTCGCCAAACCATACTGTGTCAATTGTTCAACCTTTATGACCACGTAGATTTCATAATGAAAGCAATTTTGTTTCTTTGCAAAACCATTTTTTATTCGCAAGCGTGCATCAGTTTTGGGTTCCCAGAGGATGTCATCCATATAATCAAATTAACATGGCCCAATGGATACTGCCTGGCCACCGTATGATCTGGTTGGAGATTAAGATGTTGTACCTGCTCCACGTGACTCCATCATGTTAGCTGTGGTTACGGTGTCCCCGAACAGGCAGTACCGCGGCATGGTTGTCCCCACCACCCCGGCGGCGACCGGCCCCGTGTGCACACCGACCCGCAGCAGCAGCGGAGTGCCCGGCATGTGCTTGATGACGAACTTCTACACGAAACAAGCAGTCGGAAATTCCAGACTTTTTACACATCCATGTAAGAAGATACGCCAAAAACAGTTACTCATCAAGCAACTGGATAAGATTATGGTTTTGGAAACGGACACGTGGAACGGAACGATCAGACGTTTCAATAGCATCCACTACCTAAACAACAGGGGCTACTTGACTTATTTGCATCATCATTGTAGTCCGGTTGCCAAACCCCCGATTTTTGAAGAACCTTGCAATGCGGTCCATACAAAGTTTTTTTGTTGTTTCTATATCTCTGAGGTGTGCTCTTTCAGAATCTGAATGATGCCACTCTGTCATCCTTGGGCAATTCGCACAATATGCAAATTAAGGTGGCCATTACTGAAAATCCAGTTTTCGTCAATATCTCAGTAACTACTCATGGTATCAGAATAATTTTGGTGTCTATCCCCATCTTTTGAGGTATTAACGAATTAAATCAAGCCATTTCAGTAAAGATAGAACCATTATTTTTGTCTAAATATGCAAATTTGGGTGGCAATATGCAAATTAGGGCGGCCATTACTGAAAATCTGTTTTTCGTCAATATCTCAGTAACTACTCATGGTATCAGAATAATTTTGGTGTCTATCCCCATGTTTTAGGGATAACGAATTAAATTAAGCCATTTCAGTAAAGATAGAACCATTATTTTTTGCTACATATGCAAATTTGGGCCTTGTCTGTTATTGACGCACCTGGCTGCCAGCAAGGAGGGGTCCTAATTCCGACCCATGTTCCATGCAAACGCACATGCCTTGGTATAGTTTATCTGACCCAAAACCTGTTCAATATTGAAAGACAAGTTTACCTAAGTCTAGATGGCAGGCGTCTTCTAGCATGAAACGCCGCTTGCGTATGATTGTAGACACTGGCTGTTGGTTAGCTCTGGCTCATATATCTGTGTTGGGTATGAAGTCCTGTCGTCTGATGCTTAAGATCTTCCTCACGCATTCACTATCAGAAGCATGCAGTGATTCCAGTCTCTTTTCTCTTTTCTTGGCTGATTTCCACATAGTAGGTTTCAAAGTCAAGCTGGTTGAAGGCTGCTGAGGCCTTTCCAAGTCTACAGTCTAGCTCATGGTCCATCTGTCCTTTGTTCTTGGTGGAGCTCCCAAGGTAGGTGAAGTTCTCCGCCACTTTCAATTTGTTCTCGTCAATGGTCACACTTCTAAGAGGAGCGTGTGTCCCTATCAGCATGTTAATTGCTTTTGGCCCTGATGCTGAACCCACTGCTGTCTGCAGACGGACTATGTTGGTCACTAGGGGTTGGAGATCTCTGGCGTTTTCCGCTATGTCGTCTGCAAAGTCAAGGTCGGCAAACTTTGTCTCTGGAACCCACTTTACCCCCGGCCCTTTTCTCCTGTTGCTTCCCAAGTACCCAGTCGATAGCCACGGGAAAGAGGATCTGTGACAGGACACAATCTTGGAGGATCCGTCTTCAAACCACCAGCTGTATCTAGATTCCTTCAACCGTCCGTACACAACACTTCGAGTTTCAGTATATCTGTTTAACTGCATACATAAGTTTACTTGGCAGTCCATAACTGTACACGATAAAGAGGGACTTTAGATGCTATCAAACGCCTTGCAGAAATAAATGAATCTGATAGCTAAAGGGGTTTGCAGTTCAGCACATTTCCTCCACCGCAGGGTGAAGATCTGCTCAGCACAGGATCTCTTTGAGCGAAAGCTAGCTTGTTGCTCGCAGCTCCCAGAAGACCTTGCCTACTGCATCTCTCATGCGGTTCAGGAGGCATTTGGCATACACCTTCACTTGTATAAAAAAGAATTGTCACTCCCCTTAAGTTATCACATTCATTCGGGTTTCCCTTCTTTGGAATACACACTTTAAGCCTAATGGTATGTCACAATTCAAGAAAGGGGCCCGCTCGTCTCGTTTTTGGCCTGTGTTTTGGCACTACCGAATTCGGAACGGGACCTGGAAGGCAATGGGCGGGGTTCCCGACGGCTGCCGGCCTATTTTTTGGTCCCGCGACGTCGCCAAATAGATTTGACTCAACTTAAAGTCACTTCAGGCCCCGGCGGGCAACGTACGCCGAAGCGACCCCGTAACCTCACCGGACCAAACCGTAACCTAGCCGCCGGGTCATGCACAGGCACCTGTCCAAGATTATGAAGTCACGTGTGTTGTTCTGTGCTTGAATTGTTCAGAAGAGGGTAGTTATAGACAATATAGAGGGTAATGTGCTGTTCTCGACATAGTTACATCATCAGTCAGTCATAGTGACCATACACGGGTCTGCGCATCAACCAGCAGGGCCGAACCCACCATTCCAGCCACAGGCGTACCAGCCGTGGGACCTGCCAGGATCCGCCCCTTCGACCCCGCCAGGGACCCTGCAGCTACCCGGCCGGAATGCAAGAGCTAGTCGGCACCCTATTGCATCCCGCACAGGTCTGACAGAAGACTGACTGGGCACCGGACGGGTCCCCAACAGAAACCGGTCGTCAAGGGGACCAAAATTTTGTGAATTTTACATAGAAGCCGCCTCAGCGCCCCGACAGGGAGCCGTAAAGGAAAATTCAATTGTGACCCTGACAGCCGGCGTACGCTCGGCTTCATGACGCTGGCCGGCGTCTACACCGAGAACATGCCGAGCAGGACCCGTTTCACATGTGACTCCAGCTGAACTACTGATCCGTTATTCCAGTCCTCCAGCACTTCCCTGTGATCGCCGTTGAATGCCAGCTTTATTCCAGGGAAGGCGTACTAGGGAAGACGGCTATGGTTCAGCGTTTGCGATGTACGGCGATCAGAAAAGCATCCATCTCACAACACAGTCACCCTCGGCTTTCAGCATCTCTGAAGTGATGCCATTCATGCCTGGTGACTGACTTCAGCTTCAGAGATGTCCTCGATCTCAACAGGTAATGGGTGTAGGTGTTCATCAAAGACTAATGCTACTGAGGTATGGCTTGAGCGGTTTAAGACTTTTTGAAAAGTATTCTGCCCACCTGACAAGCTTGTCCTCCCCCTAAGACAGTGGTAGGGTCCCATCCTCCGCCTTAATTAGGACTGTGCACTTTTGAGCGGCCGCCGGTCATCTTCCTGGAGATCTGTTAAGCTTTTGTCCCAATTGTAAAAAAAAAGTCCCTGGCGGGTAGTTCCCGGGCTGTTTTTGACACTTTCAGCCGTGGGACACCCCGCGGCTACCGGGCTATTTTTCTTTGGCCTGTCCGGGACTCAAGAAGAATTCAACTTAAATTCTACGCGGGCCACGCTGACATAAAATTCAGGACGTCAAGTTAGCGCTTTATTCTGCCTGTACACAGACGCTGGTAAGGCACAGGTGTGAGCTTATGAAGGGTCTAATATTTTTTTGAACAGATTGTATCATTTATTAACATTCCTATCAGTGTTCAGAGGTACAGGCGCCCATGCTATATACTGGTTAGTTTTTGCATAATTTGCATTAAATTTTGGTGTGATCAATACTGGGATGGTTTATTCTAAATATCTAGCCTTCAAAACATGTGTATAGTACAAATGTATGTGTATTGTATCAAAAGTATTGTTGATACCATGAGATTTATTGAGATATTGACGAAAAACAGATTTTCAGTAATGGCGGCCTAAATTTTCAAATTAAGCACAAAAATATCTATTTGATCTCCACTGAAATGGCCTATCCTCAATAGTTATTCCAAAAAACATGGGGAAAGACACCAAAGATATTATAATATCATATGTAGTTACTGAGATATTGACGGAAAACAGATTTTCAGTAATGGCCACCTTGATTTGCCTATTGTGCGGCTTTAATTTGCATATTCAGCACAAAAAAACTGGTTTGATCTTTACTGAAATGGCTTAATTCCATTCGTTATCCCTCAAAACATGGGGATAGACACCAAAATTATTCTGATACCATGAGTAGTTACTGAGATATTGACGAAAAACAGATTTTCAGTAATGGCCGCCCTAATTTGCATATTGCGCGGCCCAAATTTGCATATTAAGCCAAAAATAATGGTTCTATCTTTACTGAAATGGCTTAATTTAATTCGTTATCCCTCAAAAGATGGGGATAGACACCAAAATTATTCTGATACCATGAGTAGTTACTGAGATATTGACGAAAACTGGATTTTCAGTAATGGCCACCTTAATTTGCATATTGTGCGAATTGCCCAAGGATGACAGAGTGGCATCATTCAGATTCTGAAAGAGCACACCTCAGAGATATAGAAACAACAAAAAAACTTTGTATGGACCGCATTGCACGCTTATCGGTCTCTGCCACCAGACTATTGTCTTTAATATATCAAGACATAAACATATGCTAATATCAATACAGATAATGAGGAATATATGGATCCATGCACGCTTTTAAACAGAAATACTAAAGCCACAAACAGACACTCCCGAAAACATAACCTTCTTGGCAAACGTAGAAGGGCCGATGGTTTACGTGAATGGTTAGCATATTTGAGACATAGCATACCTGACTCATGGCCAGTTGTATATGGAGAGCCATGTTACAGATTTCGGCAGCATGGCGGTCGCCGTTCCGTTTGGGAAGTCCAGACGCTACCATGTAGGCATCGCCGATGGTCTCAACCTGAGAATGGAAATGTAATGCAAAATTACATTCTGTTTTAGCTATATTTCTATTCTGGCAGGAATGGCACCACTCCTGACGCGTTGCAAAAAAATGCAACCCATATACGTTTTACCGTTGCAATGAGGACACATTTTGATAGAGGGCGTTTCAGCACCATAGACGGATAGGATGCTATTGATTTCCAACGCCCATTAGGTTTACTCACAGTTCTTTAGCGAAGAGGTTATACAACCAATTGTATGGCAATAGAAATTAATCTTAGCAGTATAAATAGAGACAATGAAGAGAGAAACTCACCTACTCACTCACTCACTCACTCACTCACTCACTCACTCACTCACTCACTCACAATTATAATTGAGAGAAAAACGGAAATGAAAAATCTGGCTAATTAGATGATCATAGAGAGCGTGCAACTGCCATGACAGCTGACGAGAACGATTAATGGCCCTGTTCAGACGAAAGCGCTGGAACCGCGATTCGGGTAAATCGCATGCCTCGCATCTGTTCCACGTGCCACACATTCCTTCGGAATCGTGCCCGAGCACGATTCGGCTAAACTACAATCATTGCTGTTTGATGAAAAGACGTACCTCGGCCGAATGCCGACGTGGTCCCATCATTGCTGCTCATTTTAGCGCTTCCGTTTGAACAGGGTCAATGTCTTAAAGTCCTATGTACTACAACATGTAAAAGAAGATTAAACGCTTATCCTCGAGCAGTGGTGTAGTCAGTAAGTTCGGCATACCTTGTAAACGTCATGCTGGCTGAGAATACCGTCCAACAGGGAGTACAGATCATTCAGAAGGTCGATTGTCTGTCAGGCAAGGAGAAGAATCAAATAGTGATATTTCATTGGTCTGAACCCTATCTAGACCGGGGGGGGGCTAAAAGTGCCCGCGCCAAATTTGATGTCACGTAGTGCTCGAACGGCCAAACTTGGAGACTTAGAATATTGTTGGCAACAATTATTGTTGGCCCAATAAAATCACATTAATGACGTCATAATGACGTCATATTACGTCATAACGACATAAATTATAAATTTTTATTAGTGCACCATCCTCTGAAAATTTGGTGGTCATACGACATACCGTTCTTGAGTTCTGGGGGGGGGGGTCAAATGAGCCCCCGGTCCCACCAAGCCCAAAAAAGCCCGGTCTAGATAGGGTTAAATTAGAGCGATACGAGCGTTTTATCGTTCATACCATACATTTGTAAGATGGTGGCACTATTGGTAATCTTTTGTAGTAAAATTACTTAGAAAACGAGCGACTAAATGCAAGGACGTATAGTCAAGACTTTATTTTTTATGTTCTATGTGGATAACACCCACTGGGCACCCCCAAAACTGATATGCAAGTGTGAGCAACAAAGTGGAAATCTTATTCTGTAAGTGACCAGGAAAGTTGAACAAATGACAAAACACAGAAAGCATGGTATATCAAAGGATAAATCATTAATTCTTGTCCTTTCACATCTTCTTTGACTTTGGAAGACTCTGTGTTGAAAACATGTGGTAATTCGAGTCATGCTTCCCTTTCTCTAGCATCTTCAATTTTTTTTTTCGAGCTCGACCTCTCATCCTTTAACTGTACCCAGAAACAGTAGGGTCGCAAACTTTTTTTGGAAACGGGTGAAAGAATTGTGGCGCGCAAGGATGTCATCCATGTCATCGAGTCAGAGGGGCCTAAGATACATGTATCCTAGTGATTCAAAAGGCAAGCGTGTGATGAGTCTTGATGTGTACATAGAATATGTATCAATGCCACTGTGATTGTTGTTACCTCAAATGGTGTGCTTGCAGCCGAAATCTTGGTGAAGCCAACGATGTCGGAGAAGAATATCGTTGCCTGTTCAAAGAACTCTGGCGCAACCTGCTGTCCAAGTTTCAGCTTTTCAGCCACGGGACTGGACATGGACACATCGAACATTGTACAACAAGTCGGTCATCCTCAACAGGGCTGAAGCATAATGCCTTCTTGAGTAGCTCAATGTGGCGTCGCTACGTATTTAGGTGGGATAATGTAAAACACCGTGTGGCTAATACGAGATGGGGGCTAGCCAAGCCTTCATCTGGGTGATTTGTAGTGAATCACCAACTTCAAAATTGTTTGTTTGTTTGTTTATTTAACCAGAGAACATATCACCCTGGAGGGCGGTTTTCAATGCACCCTGGGGGGGGGGGGGGCAATCCCCAAACACAATATGATAACTAGAAAGGCCAATATTTGCTTTGGAGCAAATACAGCGATGGGTTCACCACATTTTACGACATGGCAGGGAAAGAATGGGAAACACAAGGGAAAACAATGATTTACATTGATATAACTATAATATGAAGTAAAATACAACTAAAACAACAGTTGGATAGCTATTCCCTACTTTATTGGTTAGGATTTTTAATTGCATAATGCAAACTGTTGATTTTCAAAATAAAAAAAAAAACGTCCATGCCCGGCATTCCAATGCTGGAGCAGGAAAGCTTGAAATACCTACCAAAACACTTGAATACAGACATACTGTCAGTATGGAAATGCTTCTGTGCAGGTGTTAATCAAGTTAAATCCCAACAGCCAATCAGCAAGAAGTATAGAGGAAAGCTGCATGCCTATTGGTTGATGCCCTGCATTCCATTCTGATGACTCATGCCCAAATGTGGTAAACAAGGCAGACTAACACAGTAATACATTTGCTATAACACAGCCAAAAAACTCAAATAAAACCATTCTAAAAGCCTGTATCACAATAATTTAAAAAACGCCTAGGGGTATTTGCCCACTGTACCTCCATACCAAATTTCAGGACCTTAGGCCCTAAAATGAAGAAGCTGAATCCATTTAAAGATATGGCAGGAGGAGGAGGAGGAGGAGGAGAAGGAGAAGAAGAAACATCAGAAAAAGCAATATGGTTTCACCACACCACTTCGTGGTGTGGTGAACCCATAATAACAATATAACGTAATGTAATCGCTGAAGAAACTTATGTACAATCAAGGGGCAAGTTAAAATGCAGTACATGTATTTGGACCATCGTACACCGGGGCATGTCCCTCCGTTCTTTTTTTCGAAAGGAGTAGGGAGTTCCTTAACGTTCGTGGGGTGTAGCTCTCCCTGGACACTGGACCCCCATTCAATGTCCTATCCGAGGGACGGCCCTAGCCAAAGCCAAGTAGTACTCATTTTTACCATGTGTAAAGTGCCTTTCTCAAGGGCACAAGATCGGTGACATGTGTGACCTGAGGCCATACACCCAACCATTATGCCACACAATAATAGCATGTTATACTAAGAACATTACGACTTATTTTCCAATCTTCTTTGTGAAGCATCAAAACCCTGATGAAATCTAGGCTTCAGCTAATGGGTATGATTCAAGCAGGTATTTTCAGATCCTCTTTAGATCTCTATTACTAAACATTTCCTCCCCAACTCCTTTGCTAAAAATGAAAACAGAAAGCTTTCAGTATAATCCTTTTTGACATTGAGAAACATTTTAACATTATTCCTTCAGCACAGAGGTAAGTGCTACTTTACAGAGATGGGTATGAAGGTAATAAATATAGTAACATAATTACGTCAATAAACTTTTTAAAACCTGACATTACATGTAATCTCCAAGCAGATCTTTCGGTGGCAACACAGTATCCATTAACCAGAGGAGTGTCCATTAGCCACCGAAGTTGGGAAATGGATACTGGACGGCCAATGGATACAGTCTTTTGCCACCCAACCGAAAGATCTGCTTGGAGATTACATCACATGTACTTATTAAACGGAAGCCATGTATTTTTTTTTGCTATGTGGTGTTGAAGCTCCTGTCACACTTAGCCGAATACGGCCTCCCAAACACTACTGAACCCTAACTTTGGTTATGAGGATAAAGTCGGGAGCAATTCGGCTGTGTTTGGTGAAACACTTGGGTGTGAACGGGAGGTTTGGCTATGGTTGGCTGGTGGGTTGCTGCTGTTCAGAAGTAGGTCTGTAGTGTCCGGGGTCGAATTAGACTCAAATTTAACTCAAATGTGATTCTATTCGTATAGAAATGTAGTACTTCTTGTACTTTCTAAGGTCTTCTCATCTTGTCATGAGCAGCCTGCGTCAGAAATGTAGGCATAGTTTAAATCTGGTCAGACTTCTCCCAAACTTCATTCATCCTTGGTTGTTTGGTGGTCGGGAAAAGGTTCTGAATGTGTGATAGAGGCTTAACACGGAGTGTAATTCATCAAAACGCCAACTAGTGAACAGCGAAAAGTTTTTTTTCTCTAAAAAGTAAGAAAAAGAAGCACTTTACAGAACTATCCTCGCTTCACTCAGGTAAAAATGAGTACCTAGCTTCGGTTAGAGACGTCCCTCAGATAGGACGTAAAATGGAGGTCCCGTGTCTTGGGAGAACCACACCTCACGCACGTTAAAAGAACCCACCACACTTTTCGAAAAAAAAGTAAGGGCATGCAATGGCGCATACGATGGTACAGACTAACACTGATTCACTACATAGATGTTACAGACTAACACTGTCTGATTCACTCAGCATTCCTTTCTGATGAATCATTCATCAGTATACAGTAACAATATTTCACTATGTGGCAGTGAAGCCATTCACGAGTTTCCCCAGGATGCATTGCGAAAACAGGGGTCTAAACCTCATTTGCATAGGACAGGAAGACATCGGAATGATCCTGGTGACGTTAAACAGCTTGTTTTTCAGTGTGTTTTGAGGTGTTTTGGCATTTTATGCTCAACATTAATTAAATTACTATGGATTGAATCTGACAACAAATAGATAATTAATTTTATGGAATATGTGGTTTGTGTGGTGGTGGTAACGCTATACTGATGCTGTAACGTTACAAACCACATGTTCTATGAAAAAGACAAAAAAATTCATTCTCTATTTGTTGTCAGATTCGACTCATAGTAACTTAATTAATGTTGAGCATAAAATTCCCCAACACCTTAAAACACAGTGAAAAGCAAGCTGTGCAACGTCACCAGGATCATTCCGATGCCTTCCAGTCCTATGCAAATGAGGTTTAGACCCCTGTTTTCGCAATGCATCCTGGGGATTGGTAACTCGTGAATAAAAAGGGAGAAAGATTTGCATGCACCAATTTCACACTTCCCATAATGCCTAGTAACGGTCACGGATATGACGTAAGACCATCCCCCCTCCCCCTTCCTCGATGTAATATTTCCAACAAATTCTATCGACAAATTGGTCAACTATTGTTTTGAATTATTTATCTAGTATAAAGCACATGCCATGATTGCATTGTTGTTGGAATTAGAGAAAATGACGCACCTTCTATCGTTCCACCTTCTAACGAAGACTCTCCTACTCGCACGGTCGCATGCACTACCGAGTAGGAGAGTCTTCGGTAGAAGGTGGAACGATAGAAGGTGCGTCATTTTCTCCTCTCAAAAGGTACGTCATTTTCTCTAATTCCAACAAATGCAATCATGGCATGTGCTTTATACTAGATAAATAATTCAAAACAATAGTTGACCAGTTTGTCGATAGAATTTGTTGGAAATAGTACACCGAGGAAGGGGGAGGGGGGATTGTCTTACGTCATATCCGTGACCGTTACTAGGCATTATGGGAAGTGTGAAATCGGTCAATACCGGGGCAGCAGGGCGTCCAGTACCGCCTCCGCTCTCATCCTCTCCCCCATCAGCTGCTCGTTCCTCTCCTCTACCATCTTCTCCAGCTTGTTGGTGTACGTCTCCATCTTGTGTATGATGTCATCCATCAGGTTTGAGTTCCTGTTACAGTAGGGCGCAAGAACCAACAGGTACAACTGTCAGTCACCGCAACACAATGATAAAGAGTTAACTGTAGTATTGGTTCTATACTACACTCAGCAGTGCAGGTTCATACATACACCAATTTTGTATCCAAGGCTGGCTCTGCCATTCTATATCTGGCTCTATTTATATAGTACGTTTGCTCCAATTTAGGATATTTACTACCCTCAATTCTAAAAAGTTTGGCGAGCTTAAATAAAAACCCAGGTAACAGATATCAAACTATACAGATAACACTTTGGGTCATATATAAGACCTACAGATAATTTCAGTCACCACATTTTTTTTATTTTGGAGATGACCCAAAGACGATTTCTACTAACATCACACAACCAACTCATTATGTATGAGGCTATTCATTATATACTTTACGAAGACGTCAAACCTCATAAAAGCCAAGTTTTATTAGAATAAGTTGATCAGTTGCTGTATGTTCTCTTGCTTTACGTCATATTCTGCTTTACTTGACACTGCACAATCATGTAATTAGACTTTGAGCATGATTGTGCAAAAGAATTATGAATTATAAACCACCGTTACAACAAATTGATCTATGACTTTAAAATCAAATGTTGCCCTACATGTCAAGAACATCTGCATAAAACTAAAGGGGAGTGGACAATTGGTTGATTGGTTGGTTGGTTGATTGATTGAAACCTCAGCCATATATAAGGGGAGAGGGGGTGCTGATTTGCACTAGTTTCTTATTGGCCAAGTGTTCTGATCCTATGCGTTTCTCATGATCAAAACTTAGCCAATAAGAAAATTTTATACATAACGCCGCAGCAAGTAATTTTTATGGATGACATCATTAGCGCATTGATTCTTGCCTGATTAAAAAAAAAAAGAAGAAACGTTGTTGCCTCCTGAAAGTGGTCAACATGCCGAAGATGGGCAAAGATATCTGTTGCCATGCCGAAACGTTGATGGCAGATAAATATGAAGAGAGGAGACAAGACAGGACTATGATTTAATGTTTTGCCCTTTACTTTGATGTTATGTTCACTGAATTGCTAGCATGCTCTTTTGGTCCGCCTTGTTTGTTTTCGCCCTATCGAGTCTGCGGAGGATGTCATCCATAAAATCTACTTGCTGTAGCAGTACAAATCAGCGTTACCCAAATAGCAACCGTATCGGGGAGGCAAAATAAGGCTAAGCTATATCTCATGGCCCCCATGTCTTACGTTCCTGCCTTGAGTTCCGTGAAGAGCTGACTCCGTACAGTGGCGAAGTCTGGACGTCTAAGAGGATCCTCCGTCCAACATTCCTGCATGATGCGAAGGATCAGCGGATGGATCTTGTCCGACGTAGGAAGCATAGGACGGAAAGGTGGTCTCATGCCTCCTGAGATCTTCTCCAAAACCTCTGAGAAAGTCAATGGTTTATATATTTAGTTGTGGGCCTTTAAGGTACACTTTTCCAGACAAATTTTAACTCTACAACACTGCAGTGTGGCCTCTGGTACAACTATTATAGCAACAAAGTTTTTTTATTAATATCTTCAAAATGTTGACGAAAATGGCAAAATTGGGACATTCATGAAAACATAGCTTAATACTTGAAACCTTTATCACAAAGGCCACACTGCTATCTTCTAGTAAATTTTGTATGCTTCCCAAAGAGGTATTTTTTTTACTTTACCCAAAATGAGGGCTCACAGCTTAGGACAAAATATGATGTCAAAAATGTAAAAAAAGTTCCTTCACTAGACAAGAAATCTGAAGTGGCACAAGCTTGAAAACGTATTACTATATGAATGCAGTCCCTGTACAGTGGCTTGATCTGTATAATAGAAGAATTTGCTAATGCTTCGAAGAGGATCTATAACTGTTATTGGCAACAAAAAATGGACGTAAACAAATCTGAGAAGGCACAACGCCCGTCTTCATCAAGGGTATACATCTGACACGTGACAAGATAGTTTGTGGCATCCCCCGTCTTTTTCCTGGCTCAAAATAACCTCTCAAAACAGGCGTGGAATAGAGTTAACATTTTTTTCCTCAAGATAAAACTCGCCAACATTCAAGGTTTTAGTTGGTATCATTTAAAAATTGATACGTTGAAGAAAATGTTGTAAACTCCACGACTGTTTTGCGGGGTCATTTCGAGCGGGGATAAATCCAATATGTCTGCCGGGCGCTGCTGTGACGATGCATTATGGGATTGAAGGTCAGAGGTCAGCAAAGGATTGTGGGAAGTATGAACGTGGTGATTTAAAAAAAAATATTCCAACATGTAATCACTAGACGTGGTGACGGCACACTCAAGTTTTTCAACTTATATTAATGCCGCCACCAACACAGGAGACAAATACATGACAGGACAATACTCATTTTAACCTGAGCGAAGCGAGGAAAGTAGTAAAGTGCCTTTCCCAAGGGCATAAGATCGGTGGCATGTCAGGACTCGAACCCGGGACCTCTAGGTTCCGAGTCGCGCACTCTGCCGCTACGCCACACGACCCCACAACTGGTGGTGAATTACCTGAAGGATTGAGTCCAAACGATGAGTACGGCATGTCCCTGGTCAGGATCTCGTGCACGATGATGCCATAGCTGTAGACGTCCGACTTCGGCGCCGTCACGTAGCTCGCAATGGCTCTCGGGTTACGAAGAATTTCCGGTGCTGTCCACAACATCTCTGCAATAGAAACACCCAAAATGTTGATAAAAAGATTGCAAATTCGTTACTACAGCCCCATCTTTGAGTGCATCCAGAGCACTCACGTTATAAATTTGCAACCTAGCTGTACAGCTACATATATGGCGTAGACGGACTTACCCGGATAGTAGTTCAAAAATATGTGTTCCTGTTCAAAAAGATAATGAGGTATTATCTGTTAGTATGATAATAAATGACCAACTCACGTGGCTGTCAGAAACAGTATATAGGAGCTGTATTAATCCTTTGATTACTTGCTTTGCGACCATATGGTCGCAAACAGTTTGTGAAGCCAAAATGTACGTTATAGACTCAGATTTTGTCAAATCGTGTAGAAACATCCTTTGAACATTTTCCTAGGCACATGTGAGTTGGTCTGTTAGCAAGCACCTGTTCCCTTGCATCTGGGAATAAGAAGTTGTCTACTTTCTGAATCGACGTCACGGGACGGATGTTTAGACGTAGATGGATCCATACTCTTTGTTTCTTGTTCCTTGGTCTCTTCCAGGACGTCCGCACCGAACTTGAACTCCTTAAGACCGTAGTCTGTGATTTTCACCACCCAGCGTTGGTCCAGAACGCACTTTGTGGACTTCAGCTTCCCGTGGTACTTGATGATCGACTGATGAATGTACTCCATCCCCTGGGAATAAATGGTAAAGTTGTAGAACTCGAGGCATCAAATTAAAGGCATCAAATTCAGTTTTTAGGGCTTGGAAACCCGATTTTTTTAGGTCAATATTCTAGTGACTTATCTCCAAACTGAGTTAAAATCACACTATTCAAATGTATATTGACCCTCATGGAGCAAATGTACTCGAAATTCGGATGAAAAATGGTTCCTGGAAGGGCCCTTGGCTGATTTTTGGGGTACCTCCCCTTAAATAAAGGACTCATCTTGGGGCTTGTTTCTGCAGTTTTAAATACCCAGGGTATGAAATAAGGGTAAGAAAGATCGAAGGCATCCGTTGGCAGGACCATGTCACCAACGAGGCAGTACGCCACACAACAAACCAGGTCCCGATCAGCCAGAAGATCACCAAACACCAGCTAAACCTCCTGGGTCACATCCCCAGAGCCACACCCACCCAGGAAGTGATCAAACTGATCACCACAGCTCCAGATCCAACTTGGAGGCGCCCTAGAGGCCGTCCCAGGAGCAGATGGGAGGACCAGGTTTTCAACGTGCTGGACAGTTTAGGGGTCAGCAGAACTGACTGGAGAGTGCTGGCGGAAAACAGAACATCCTGGAGGGACATGGCTACAGCCGCTATGCATCTACTCTGATGCCTGCGGCTTGATTGATTGATTGATTGAGGGTATGAAATACTGATGTGCTAATGTAAATCAGTATGTGTCAATATCATAAAGATTGCCTTATTCAGAATATTTCCAGTTTTGCTGCTCTGAAATCGCATTGGATGCCTTTAAGACGAAACGCCAAATTCTCTTTCGATAGCTGCACATCAGACAGGCAGTACCTGATTTATAGAAGAAAGGAACACATCTGTGTCATGATTTTGTAGATGTATTAACGGTTTGCCTTGACATATATTGGACGCCACCTTTGTTCACGATCAGTTCTTGCACAAAAATAAACCAGAGACCCCATAGCTCCACAAACTTTAAATACAGTACCATAGATAGTATACTGCGCTATGCACCAAGTAGTGTCAGTGCACAGTAAACCAGTCAGAATTGCCCTGATGAAGATGACAGAAGGTCATCGAAACGTCGGCTTGAAAATTAAATGGTTGTGATAGAAAGAACTTTGCTATTCAGTACCATAGATGGTTAGAAGATCGTCCTATCCCATTAATTATACATGTACAGCTTTGTAGAACTATAGGCTTTTTAGGCGTTGATAAACAGTCAGGGAAAGAAATAAAGTTAAAAAGATTGGGACAAAAATGGGTAACGTTACCTTCGCAATGTCGATAATGAAAGAGATCTGGAACATGTCATCCACGTCTATATTGTCGTTGTCGAGAACATCCTTTGGGGAAAAAACAATGGTTAATCTTACTAGGATGCCTTTCACGGTGCAAGTTAAAAATGAAGTAATCTTAAGGTTAGTTTGTATGTGAAGCCCATGTCACACATAGCCGAATATGGCCGAACTCCTCCCAAACATTGTTAGGAATAGGTCGGGACCAAGGTTGGCTCTGGTGTTCGGCGTGGTCAGCTACTGTTCGCCTACCAGCCGAACATTTTAAAATGTGGACGGGAGTCGGGGCTATGGTTGGATGCTGTTCGGGAGCATGTCAACTGTGTTCGGGGGTCAAATTTGACACATATTTAGCTTAAATTCGAGGAATGAAAGTTAGGTGTGGCCTAAATCTGATCACACTTACTCCCGAACCAAGGCTGGCCGGTGTGTGTGTATATAATTTGTGTGTGTGTGTGT